AAGTTTACATCACTATCATAGGTTTTAAGGTTCAAAAAATGTAGATTCTTAAATTTTTTGAAGGCCATAGATAGGCCTAACTAAAATGTTTTTAATTGTGTACCAGTTTAACGTTGAATATTATTTATGATTTTAACTTTATACACAAGTGCCAAAATACTATAAGTACAATACTTGTTTTTACAACGGATTATACTAGTTAAGATACGTAAAGATTTCATTATAAACGAAGTCTCTAATTAAGCCACCTTATTCATGGTTGTGTGTGCCTACTGCATGCATCATCTTCTACTGTTACAATCGTTTAATAATCTTAATATATCTATTGGTGACTATATCAGGATACTTTTTGTTGATCCTTGAAGCAAGACTGAACAGTTCCTTTCAGTCGTTTTTAATGTGTTTTTATGGGACTGTGTGTGCCTTTTTTGTTGAATTCAGCTCGGAAATTTGGAAAAAAATGGCAAATACTTATGAGTCATTCTATGTTCAGAAACATGTAAATGGTTAAAAAAGAAACTTACGAATTCCCAGTTCACTAAAACCATCATGTTAAAATACAAAATTATTAAAGTCACTGTAAAGGAAAGTTAGTTACATTGTTAATGTTTTGGTGAAATGCCCTTCATGTGGACCTAAAAAAAAGCAAGTGAGTGCAGGTAATTATATATAGAAATTGTATCATTTGATACAATGTTACAGTTGTTCTAAGAGGTTATTTCAATATGTGAGAAAAGTGGCTGTGATTAAGAATAAACAATAAATATTGTTTATGTTCAGCCTCCCTTTCAGGTTGAGGAATAGGTTCAACAGGGTTAACAGCTCTGTGAACATTGTATTCAGATTTATTTTCTCTATTTAGAAGAAAAAAGAAGATAATAGACAATTGACCAGTGGATTAAGTAAATTATTTGTCATTCCTTCAAAACATTTACAAACATAAACCTAAACAGAAAAAGGAGTTTCTATATATATATATATATACTTTGTGTGCAATTAATTGTATTGAAGAAACATGTGGGAGTGCACAGATTTGTAATAACATGAAAGGGTGAAACTATTGCCTGAATGGTGGTTTTAATGCTCAGAAATGGTAGGGAGTCTGAAGAGAGTTGTACTGGAAAGGAGAGATTACAGTGAGAATTTTGTATAGTGACCTGAAGTGGTGATGCTATTGCCTGAAATGGTGGTTTTAATGCTCAAAAATGGTAGGGAGTCTGAAGAGAGTTGTACTGGAAAGGAGAGATTAAAGTGATAATTTTGTATAGTGACATGAAGTGGTGATGCTATTGCCTGAAATGGTGGTTTTAATGCTCAGAAATGGTAGGGAGTCTGAAGAGAGTTGTACTGGAAAGGAGAGATTAAAGTGATAATTTTGTATAGTGACATGAAGTGGTGATGCTATTTCCTGAAATGGTGGTTTTAATGCTCAGAAATGGTAGGGAGTCTGAAGAGAGTTGTACTGGAAAGGAGAGATTAGAGTGATAATTTTGTATAGTGACCTGAAGTGGTGATACTATTGCCTGAAATGGTGATTTTAATGCTCAGAAATGGTAGGGAGTCTGAAGAGAGTTGTACTGGAAAGGAGAGATTGGTGTGAGAAATTTTGTACATGGTTAATTAAATCAATAAGATTTTTACGAATCCAAGGTGCTCTCTCCTAATGGTCTAAGAATTCTTGTAGGCATTATGAAAATCTAGAGATAATGTATTCTTCTTCTCCACCTACAAATATATGTTGGCATATCTGAGTCACATTTTTATTCTTAGGCAACAGCATTAATTTATCCATATGACTATTAACTACTAATCTGTTTTAAGTATAGGTTTGTTTTTCTCAGAAATACAAGAAATACCCTTCCTTGACACTAAAAAAGTGATAGACCCAAAATCATAGGAAATCTTGAACAATCCAACTATTTTGGAAAGGCAGAGAGATTAGTTGAAGGAAAGGTCTATAATTATTGGATCTTTTTATGACATAATTATTAGAGAAAGACTACTAAAGCAGTAAAATATTTTTTAATCAACACTTATGAATTATTGAGTAAATGAAAAAAAGATCACTCAAACTATTATGAAGACTTTATTGTTTTCACCCAATCATTTCTGACCAAAACTATTATAAGTTGAGTGAAATGAATTTAACAGCAGAATTCCAGCTTTAGTACACGATAAATAATTTCGTAGTTTCGAATTTAGTGTGTATTTGTTTAATGCTTTTCAATTTAGAAAATATCTCTTGTTATTCAACCCACTGAAATTCAGCTGTAATTCATCAGAATATCACTATCCTCTATTTATAATTTATATTCAATGTTCTATATTTAAAGGAATTGAAATGATAATAGAAACATCGGATGTCGGGTTGAAAACACTAACCTCGTGTCCACGTGATGGAAGTTATTGGGAAACCTGCCACTGGACATCGTAAAGTCATGGTATCTCCAGCCAAAACAGAAATATTTCTCATTGGTCGAATAACTGGAGGTCCATAGATATTAACAGATGCAGAATGTTTCATTACTCCCGCCATATTTGTTGCCATACATGAATATTCTCCTCCATCCTCTATTCTTACATCACTAATGTTAACGTAGCTAACCACGTGACCCTTTGACGTCACATAGTCACCTAATCGAATCCGAGATGATTCTGGAATGCCAAATTCCTCCACATTCCAAGTGACTTGAGGTAAAGGATTTCCAGAGGCAGAGCAGCTTAACGAAAGGTCAACACCAGGTTTCAAGTTTTGCTCAGTAAAAGTTATTACAAGTTTTGGAGACACCTCTGGAAAGTTACACAAACAGTACGTGAGGAAAAACCATAACATACAAGCTATTCACCAAAAAATATGGTTTACGTATTTTAAATTTCCTTTGAAGATGTACAATCTTTGGAATTAATTTTGTAATTTAAACTTATGTCAATGAAATACTTCCAGTTTAACATGAGGACCAATTTTACTAAGTAAATATATTTTGAGAAATGCTTGAACTTAGAATTCTGTTGGTTAGCAAATAATCTGTATATTGTAAATTGTAGTTTGTTTGTTGTTTTTTCAAAAAACTAAGATCCTTGACTTCTTTCTCAAATTGTTTGTTTTTGATTCAGAATTTCAGATAAGGCTACAAAGAGAACTATTTGTCCATAACTGTTCTGATTTTTAACTGCTCGACTAGATAGAAGGCAGCTAGTCAACAGAAGCCACCGCCAACTCTTGGTCTACTGTTATCTGGCCTAACAGTAGAATTTGACCATCACTTTTACAACACACCCACGGCTCCAAAATGAGAGCTTCGTTTCCAGCAAAGAGCTTCGAACCATCAACCCTCGGATTCATAATTTGAGCATGATAGTCACGAGAACACGCCTGACCCTCTTTCTTAGATTATCTGTTGTTGTTTTTTTGTTTTGTTTAAGGGTTCATAAAATAGTAATATTGTTTCATAAAAATGTAGAAATAATTACAGAAATTGTACAAATGATATTAACTGTGCCAATGACTGAAGCTTCAGAAAAATAAATCTTGAATGGTATTACAAGATCTTGGTGAAAATAAAAGCATGGTAAAATATGGAATGTTTATCTCAAATCATATCTCTTAAAGATTCTATTTACTCAAGAGCATACATGACATCCTTCAAACACTTGGCCTCACCATACAAAAAACATCCATTGGTTCTTACTTTAGTTCCATTAATAGAATTATAATATTTAGTTCACCATTACAATGAAGGGAAAACTACACCTGCTTTTACATACATCTTTATTGATAGAGGTAAGGGTCATTAATAAGATTTTCAAGAAATTCGCAAAGAAAGTGTCTACCATAGCAATTTTAAAGGAGTGGTCTCTTCTTCATCAGAAATCCCTGATTTATTTTAATAACAATTTCCAATTTTAATAAACTTACCTCCTAGCTTCAATTCTGTTGTTCCCTGGGCTGATTCCCTGTCGTTATAAACAAAACATTGGTACATTCCTCTGTCTTCTCTTTCCACTACTGAGAAGTATAGTATTTCTTGCTTTATTAGCCTTATTCTTGAATTCGTTTCTAGAGGAGCTGCATTCTTCATCCATTGAACAGTGGGAACTGGGTAACCAGTTAAGGAACAGTTTAACGTTATGGGCTCGCCAACAACAGCGACATGGTCTTGTGGCACGATATAAGCAGAAAGGGAAGCTTTATGGAGCAACAAAAGACTAGTTATTACAGGAATAACAATCTTATTAACGTTCTAAAAAACATAAACAAGTTAACAATATAAAGGTGTATTGTACGAAGTATTATGTAACAGAAAAGAAAAAATAACTATCAAACATCAAACAATAGCAATCCAACTGCTTTGACTACCAGTAGACTGTACCCATAAAACTTCAATAACAAACACGTCATGATTATATCATAGCAAGTTGTCATTGAATTTTAACAGCTTGAGTGTACAGGGTGTTCGTAACTGTTAGAACATAAGTACTATATATATCTGTGTATGGACAAAAGTTAGTTAAAAGTTTTAGTTGTACACTAGGCTGCTTGATAGGCTATAAGCATCAAAATCAACAGTTCACTCCAAAGATATCACTGTCACCAAAAATCTAAGTAAGCTTGCACGTAAATACGTTTATACTTCTTACATTAGATCAATCAGTCAGCTATCTTGGAAAGTTAGAGCAATTGATCTGTTAATAATAAAACGTATTAAGCCAGTTCATCGAAATTGTTTTCACTTTGCACAAAAATAATCGTATATGTGAAGATCAAAATTTTATATAGAAATTAACGACAGCAGTAAATGCAGATATTAAAGATATGTTTATCTTTCAAATGGATTCACTTCATAATATTTGTTTCTGTAAGATGTTTAAAGTATATTGTACGAAGAGTTTTAAGATGACTTCATTTTTAAAAGCAAAATTAAATAATAATAACTCAGTTCATATGACGAAACTTTCATGAAATACAGTATTCATAACGCGCGCGCGCTTTCCTATTTAACATATTTAGTAATCCCTAACTTAGCTATCTAAGCTGATAAAACGAGAAAGGTAAAAACAGAAAACTTTCCTTTGAATTTGGTAGGCAAAAATGAATCAATAAAAACAATGTTCTTAATTAAACATAGGATTTTAAATATGTACCTTAATGAAGTTGCCTTTCATTTCAATATTTATTAAATTTAAGAGAAGTGTTATAGTCAGCGTTTTATAGAATAATAAAACTTATAATTGAAAGAAGTTTTTCGTTAGTTTGATGTAAATGCTTCAGCAAAGTAGCTAATCTAGAATCTAAATTTAATATAATAACATGCGTCAAAATAAACCATAAAATTTTGTTCAAATCGTGAGAAAATTTTTCTCACTTCTCTAATAAAGTATGTAATTATCAAGCTAAACATGTTTAATACACGCATTATCTTTATAACTAATAATAAATATTTATTCTAAATACAGATGAGTCAGTTCACCAGCTATTCAATATTTTCAACGCATTAATGTGAAATTAAAAAAAAGAAATATATAAGATATATTAAGTTCAATTTGATCAAATAACTCTAGATTTAAAATTTGTTTATAAAACATGTTATAGGAAAATCTACTTTTAATAAAATTAGCTTTAGAAATATCAAAACTGGTTTCTTAATAATGAAGATACTGTGATTTTGAAAATCAAAGTTTTGTACCAATAGAATTAATAATGTGAATGTGATATGCAGGCATATCACATGCTTTATACCTTTGGTTCTAAGAGAATTTTTCAAATTTTTTGTGAGGTTAGTTTGTATGCAATTTTAGACGAAGCATGTGGTCCAGAAAGACGTTGAGATTGGCTTGTTCTAATTGCTTTATTTCTTTGTTCTTTATAGTAGATAATGTCTATTCTACTCGAGAGAATATTGCAGTAACATATAACATCTGGGTTGAAAGGACTAGCGACGGTAATATCCTTTCCTGGTCGAGTTGACATTTTCTGAATGTTATTGCCGACAAAATGTTGTGAGACAACAAAGGTGATGCTGTCGACTGGATAAAGAAAACGGGTTTACCTTTAGAATTCAGGTGCCCATTCTTAGTTCAATTCTACATGAGTTTCTTTGAGTAAAAGTTTACTTTACGATCATCGTGTATGCTTATACAGATGTTTATCCCGAAAGAAAAAGTTGGAGATAATAACAGTAGAAGTGATTGTTTTGCGTAAGTATGCTTCTTTTTTCGTCGTTCGTTTTGTCAAACTTGTTTAGTTTTATTGGTTTATGCACACTAAGAAAATTCAGTCAATATAACAGATTCATATTACTCTCCTTATTTTCTGACGAAATCTCCTGTTATTAGCGGATCTAAATGTCGGGAAATCAGTTTCTACATGAAAATACCACGTGCATATATCATGTAAGTTGAGAATGAATTATATTTTCAAACTTCTAATACTTAAAGGGTTATATTTATAATTAATATGCCAAATATGTAAAAAAATGTTTTTAATTATTACTTTTTCAATGGTTGTGTAAAGCACATGAGCGTGTAAAAATGATTTTTTATTTACAACAAATTTGGAAGCATATATTAGCGAAATACAAGATTGAAATATACGTTTAATCACGTTGTATTGTGTTTAAAAAGAGGGTGATAAAATATTGCGGGTCAAAAGTTTTGATTAACCAAGATTACAGTTACGTGGATGTTTTAATTTAGCGTGTAAATCTGTACCACATTTTTAGAAGTCTGAGTGTAAGCTCAACTAATTAATTACTCGCTGAATTAACTATGTTAATAGATGTGATAGATTGGCATGAAATTAAATAATGTACCATAAATAATGACGTTGATATCCACACTTTCTTCGCCTTTTGTATTGTTTGCTACACAAACGTAATTTCCTGAGTCAGCCGAGCTCACATATTGCAAAATCAAAGATCCTTCCAAATGTAGCACTCGATGTCCTCCGTAGATTAGTCTTCCTTCCTTGTACCATCTTAACAGTGAAGAAATAAAAACTTACGGAATCATAAAATACATAATTTGAAATTAAGGCTTACACGGGACAGCGTCCTAAAAGCATTATAATTAACAAATTAAATATATTTGTTTGACAGCAAGGAATACGTATTAGGGATTTTTAAACAAACATCTTGATGCAGAAATTAATTATACAGAGAAATATAATAAAGTGGGTCAAATGTTTTAAAATAACCGTTCACGCATTGTTCATACCTAGAATTGGGATAGAAATGTAAAAATTTCTTATAATACTCTATAAAATGAATATATTTTTAATTACAGAGATAATCAGAAAGCTGCTTTAATAATTGCTCGTTATTAATGAATTATTCTTGTATGATTTTTGTCTATATATAAGAATATTTTGTGCTTTAATAATGCTGCTTTAATAATCGCTCTTTATTAATGAATTATTCTTGTATGATTTTTGTCTTTATATAAGAATATTTTGTGCTTTAATAATACTGCTTTAATAATTGCTTGTTATTAATGAATTATTCTTGTATGCTTTTTGTCTATATATAAGAATATCTTGTGCTTTAATAATGCTGCTTTAATAATTGCTCGTTATTAATGAATTATTCTTATATGATTTTTGTCTATATATAAAAATATTTTGTGCATTAATAATGCTGCTTTAATAATTCTTGTTATTAATGAATTATTATTATATGACTTTTGTCTATATATAAGAATATTTTGTGCATTAATAATGCTGCTTTAATAATTCTCGTTATTAATGAATTATTATTATATGATTTTTGTCTATGTATAAGAATATTTTGTGCTTTAATAATTGCTCGTTATTAATGAATTATTCTTTCATGATTTTAGTCTATATATAAGAATATTTTGTGCTTTAATAATTCTCGTTATTAATGAATTATTCTTATATGATTTTTGTTCATATATAAGAATATCTTGTGCTTTGATAATTGCTCGTTATTAATGAATTATTCTTTTATGATTTTAGTCTATATAATAATATTTTGTGCTTTGATAATTATAGTTATTAATGAATTATTCTTATATGATTTTAGTCTACATATAAGAATATTTTGTATCATAATCTTTAGAAACTTTTATATTTTCTTGATAGACAAATAAATAAATCTTATACTAATTAAGTAATTTTAAAGTTAAACTAATTATATTTTAATAAGCCACTTTACCGTGCATTTATCAATTAAGGTAAAAAAACCAAAACCTTGCATTAGCCAAAGTATAATCAATATCAGGCTGAACAAGAATCAATACAGCGGGAAAATAAAATGTCTTTTTTTTCTTCCCTATACTTGCCTCAATAATTTTCGATGTTAGAATTTTATCGTGTTTTACTTTCCTCCAAATAAGTCGTGATTAAATGACTTTTTGTTTCTCGTTCGCTCTTTCTAAATAGATCAGAATGCTATATAAAATCATAGCCAACCTATTTCGTGTAGAACCACGAGATTTAATAACTGTTTTCTGCAGGTGCATATTAAGTGTAACTGTAAAACGACATGGTGTGCTTTAAACATATTTATCATTCTGCTTTTCCAAAGCTTGGCATTACAGGTGGAATTCTTTTGTTTGATACTTTTACTTGTATGAAGACATCAAAGTTGGTGATACATCGTAGTTGACATATTCAATATAAAAGGGAAATTACCTCTACTAATCCAGTTTTTATAAACGGTTGTTTTTTTTATTTTAGAACAAAGCCACATTGAGCTATCTGCTGTGTCCACCGAGGGAAATCGAACCTCGGATTTTATCGGGATCTTTTAAAAACAGAAAATTAAAAACAAACAATTCGCCTGAATGGTCCTGAAAAGGAAGTAATATTCTGGTAACAAATTCTCATATTTTAATACCATTCAGTAACTAAGACCAAACTGGCAAATTTTACGGATCTTTTAAAAACAGAAAATTAAAA